GTGCTTGGTCGAGGAGCTTGGGTTGGAAAGAGGGAGACGGGCGAGTGGTGAGGGGGTTGAAGGGCGAAAAGGATGGTTGGAGGAGAGCGAAGATGGGTCGCAGGCGCTTGCGCAGCCCGTAATGATTGACTGGCTCGCTGGCAGCCAACAGACAGACGTTCGCCCACCAGACCGACCGACTCACCCCTCCCGGCTCGTTCTCCACCCCCGTACACCCTCGTCCTCTCTCGAAACACCCTCCGCTAGCACGGCCGTGGCGTCGTCCCCGGAGCAGCCTCGCTCGAAAAAACTCGCGATACAATGCACGACTGCCACCCTCCTCCCCCGACCGAATCTCACTCCACCTGCCTCGGCCACCCCCTCCCACCGAACTTCCTCTTTTCTTCTTTCGCGGATCGAGCACTCCGGCTATCCTCTCTTATCGCTACCCTTTCAACCCTTTTTCCAGCGCAACGTTGGGGATGTGTTGCGAGCACTCGTGTGCGGGATACGTACAAAAGCCGTACAGATAGCCCGGCCATTGAATCTTTAAAGGTCGACTTACCGGCCCAGTGTATCGAGGCATGTTACCTGCGCAGGGCGGAGCGAAGGGGGATAGAGCTCCAAGTGGCGGTTATTGCAAGTTTTTGAGTAAGTGTTAGAGGAATAGGCGATTGATGTTTATTCGATTTTTTTATTTTCTTTTTTTTTTCTTCTTTTTTTGATTGGAATTGAGAGATAGATAAAGAATACGTTTACGTATAATGTAACGTTATTATTATTACTCTGTTGATCGTTTCAAATTGTACGCGTTTTCGAAGAAACTTTCGATCGTTACGAATAAACGTTTCTCTGTGAATATTTAAGCTTCATTTTTCTTCGCGTTAAATAATTTCTTCTATTCTATCCCCGAGTATGATTACGAGGGATCAAATGAATCCATGGTCGTTTCAAAGGAACACTTTATAATACGAAGAAGAAAGCGGCCACCAATTGATTCTGACGAAAGATAACTTCGCAACAACTGCGATCCAAGCTGCGCAACACGAGCCTCCCAAGTATTTTAATCACCCTTATACATTCTCCCTTTTTATTCTCCCTTCTCTCCTTCGAAAATTATTTCTCGACAATCGAATACGTTCTCTGCCTCTTCTTTCCTTTCTTTCCGCGTCAAAATTAAAAATCTAAAGAGAAAAAAAAAGAGAGAGAGAGAGAGAGAGAGAGAGAGAAAACAAAAATTCAACGCGATAAAGACACGGTTTTTAATGCAACCGTTCGAGCGTTAACCGAGGTAAAGCTTAATGAAAAATCGGCGACGGATTTACAATGCGCCATTTTTTTTTTCCTCGCCGCGGACCCGGCCCGAAATTAAAATTTAAAATAACTCGCGCCCGATACAGCGATGAACCAGCGCGAAAGGAGTGGCGAATTTATCGCCGGATTACCGTGTAAATATAAAAACGGTTATTCGCAACTTTTCGATGCGCGCGCGCCTCCAACCCTTCTCCTCTTCCTCCCTCCCCTCCCGCATTACAGAAATTTACAAGCGTTTAACTATGAACGCGTTCACATAATAAAATCGGCGAGTACGCGATCGCGTAACGCGGTTTGCAGAACGGATTAACGTCGTTCGTTTAAAATCGCGCGCGTTATTCCGCGGATTCGCGCTTTTTAGCGCGCACCTCCCCCCTCCTTCCCTTCCTCCCTCCCCAGCGACGTTTTTACAATTATGCATCCGACGCGAAAAACGAACTCGCGATGTTTGACCGCTCGCGATAAATTTCTGGTTGCCGGTTTTTAACGAGAATCGCAACGTATGGTTGTTTACGTGGAGGCGCGAATTTGATACGAAATATATGCGTTCAATTGAAAATGAATTGAACGAGCGAATCGGCGACTTGGTGATTCCTTTGGATTTCGCGTAATTTGTTGAAGAGACATTATCAGGTGATTCAAATTTTTAATCGATTTAATTTTTTTTTTTTTTAGAAAGTAAAATAATATTCCAAAATAATTTCAATTTAGAAAAGAATTAGAAATGTGTGTCTATATAATTTCATTCGAAAAGTATAATATAAAACATTTTTCCAAACAAGTTAATTTTCCAGACACTTCAAGCTTTTGTTTCAATCGATTCAATTTCTTCCTTTCACTTGGAATAATTTCAATTTAGAAAAGAATTAAACGCGTGTCTATAATTTCATTCAAAACGTTTCAAAATATTTTTGAACAAACAAGCCACCAAGAAATCGATAAAACTCCGAAACCTTGCCCCCTCTTCTCCCCCCGAACCCATTCAACGAAACCATTCACCGATCGCCAAACGATCAATCATCTCATTCATTCACCTCCCTCCCCTTGCGCGATATCAAAATCTCCTTAGCCATCTCCAAACCGTCTCCCGCGAAACAATAAAAATTCACGTCTCTATCTCGAAAAAAAAACCGCCCATTCACATTGCGTAGAAACCTCGACCAGTGCAAAGCTCGCCTGCATATTTTACCATTCCTCCATCCGGCCGGCCGGCTATCGCGATCGCCTTGTCCGCGGAGGCTCGGCGCGGAAAGTCTCTCAGAAAAAAGCAACAGAGAGAGAGAGAGAGAGAGAGAGAGGGAGGGAGAGAAAGAGAGAGAAAGAAACAACGTCGGTCCCCAGCCGTCGCGTTATTCCCTTTCTCTCTCTCTCTCTCTCTCTCTCTCCTCCTCGTTTTTTCTTTTTTTTTCCCCTCCCCGTCGTTTAATCCAATACCGGCCAGGCGTCCATCAAGCCGTGGCCCCGTGGTCGCAAAGGTTTTGTCCGCCTCGGCTCGCCTCGGTACGCGCGCGCCTCCCCCGTAAATTCGCGCGAGCCGCGCGCAATGTTCTGCGTGTCGCATAAAGCGTAAAACCAACGTGAATTACGGTAGGATCGCGTTACAGCGGCCGCGGGGTACAACCGTTCGACAATTCCCCGTGTCCTTTGCCCTTTAGAAATTCATGTAATTTTTTGCCGCGTTGCACGGACACGCCAATTTTCCCACGGACCACCGTCGCGACGATCGAGAAATTTAAGGCCGAAACGGGCCCGGCTGTAAAACACGCGGCTATGCAATGTTTGTAACCGAGAGAGAGAGAGAGATAGAGAGAGAGAGAGAGAGAGAGGGAGAGAGAGAGAGAGAGAGGGAGGGAGAGAGAGAGAGAGGGAGAGAGGAGCGGAGCTCGCCCCGCTCGATCGTTACCGGGCGTCTGCGCGCGATATTCTTCCACGGCTAACCTTTCTCCCCTTTGCTTTCTTTTATTTTTTTTTTCCTTTTCTTTTTCTTCTCCTTTCTCTTCTTTTCTTTTCTTTTTCCTTTCCTTTCCTTTTTCTTTCCCCCTCCTCGCGCTCCCTCCCTCCCGCCTCCCTTTCTCCCTTTCTCTCGCGTTATTCCGGAGGATTGGTCGGAGGCTTTTTCGGAACGAAGCGATTTCTTTATCGCTAGGTTTTCTAGGGAACGGTGTGATGGAGTAGATGGAATACGGGGGAGAGGGAAGGGGGAGGGTCGAATACGGATAAAATCGAATCGAACATAGGTGAGTTGGTTGGTCATAGGTGAAAGTGGTTTCAGTTCGAAAGAGAGTAAAGAACTCGAGGAAAGAAATCGTCGAAATGATCTCTCGAAGCGATAAATTTACACAATTTAACCACTTCGCATGAATAATAGAATAATTTCGTTTTATTTTAAGAACGAATAATATGAATCGCGTAATCCATCCATCTTTTGTTCAAAACAAATAACGCGATCATTTAACGCTATTCCTTATATATAATTCCGATATACAAAATTCCTAATAATCCCGCGAAATGATATCCACTCATGAGAATCGAGAAGAAAAGAATAGAGAAAAGAGGAAAGTAAAATCTGTTCTCCTGCTCCTCCTCGAATTCCTCCTCCTTCGTTTCATTGACTCGTGTCGCCGCCAAGGAAAGGGCACCCGATTCACCCTCCATACCCTCCTCGACCACCCGTTCCTCCCCTACCCCTCCCTTTTAATCCACCAACTCGCAATTTCTCGGCGAAGACACGGAATCAGGCAATGCTCTCACGGGCGAAATGCAATTCAAATGCCGTTTCCGTGCCGGTTCTTCGCGCATCGAGAAGGGGAGGGGGTGCAGAGGAGTGGAGCAGAGGTCGTTGCTAATTGCGGCACCGATCCTCGAACACGGCCGGCCGGAAATGGAGAAGAGTTGTCGCGAATGGACGAGTCGTCTCCTCGCGTCGCCCGGTTTCCTGGGCCAGGCCAGGCCAGGCCAGGCCAGGCCGTATGGTATTCGTGTCCCCGGGTCGTCCACGATCGTGTCCACGTGGATCGTCGTGCAAAGCGTCGTTTCCGCGGTTCCCGGCCACGGAAGCCGCC